CCCTTTATGGGTTTTGGGTTTTATTCAGAAGGCTGTAATGCTTGGGGTGTTGATAGGGGCGTAGGGCTTCTCGCCACCTTTTCGTGGATATAAGGTTCGTCGAAAACGGACCTCGAATGTGGGAGTTATGATAGTTTTAAGGATTGGGTAGTTTTAGCCCCTAGATGGGAAAGCTTGCATTTCAGCACATGCATGCAAGATGGCAACATGTGAGTATGCCCAGTTTAAGCTGGGGTACGCCCAACGTAGTGTTGGATAAATAGGTCGCGGGATAGGAAATGTACGCCCAACGTACGTCCAGGATCTTCAAACCCTATTTTTTTTAGGGTTGGCTCACTATTTAAAGCATCTTAAGTCCAAAGGGGTGCGCCTCTCTTTCAATCTCAAAGTTTTAAACCCTAAATTCAAGTGATAGATTCATCCAAGAGTGTTGTGAGATTTTTAGGTGCATTTTGGGTGGTGTTTGGTGCATTTCAAGAAGTGGAAGCTCGATACAAGGTGGTAGTTTAAGGGATGACTTGTAGATCGGTACTTCTTGCTACAAATTCAGCTCAAAAAAGGTAAAAAGTTTCGAGCTTGATCACTAGATGTTGTTATTTATGAATATATGGGTTTTTAGTCCCTTTTTGGCCTCATGAGCAAGATCTAGTGGTTAGACATAACTTCAGAAGCTTTGAGTTGCTACTCTTAGCATTTCAGAGGTTATAAGTCCATAAAGTTGACATCTTTGGGGCTGGAAACCATTCATGCATGTCCTATATGGGTATTATGGGGTTAAGTTGGTCATTGAGTCCCTTTGAGCCATGCAAATGCATAAAGGTGCCAACTTTATGCATTAAGAGCTTCATCTGGTGGTTCTCTGAGGTTTAGATGCAAAGCTCTTAACTGATTAAGTCATAAAAGTAGTTTGGAAGTTATGCGAGTACACCCCACGTAAGTCGATGTACGCCCCGTGTACAGAGTCAACCATCATGTAGATGGTCAATGTGAGGCTAGGGTACGCCCAACGTACCAAAGGGGTACGCCCCGCGTACGCCTCTATTTGGGTTTTCGAACTTTGGGCTTTGGGTTTGGTCCATTTGTTTGGGCCTAGAATCTTGGACCCTAATGGACTATTTGGTTGGTTATGTTCTGGGCTAATTGAAGGATTAGATCATAAGATAAGTCCCAATAAGGGGTTTGGGCCTAATTTGGAAAATTAGGCCATTAATAGGCTTGTAAGTACATAGATTTCATTGGGCTAGCTATAGACATGTATAATGATTCAGAATAAGTAAATGGGCTTTAGGAAAGGCCTATGTAAGGGTTTGGGGCCCAAGTTGGAAAATTAGGCCAATAGTGGACTATTAGTGGGCCTTAATGGATTTTGGAGTTTGGACTTGATTGGTTTTAGACTTGGGTCATTAATGGGTTTTCATGGATTATAAAGTATGGACCTTTATGGGTCGGGGGTGAAACGGTCATTTCACCCCTAGTATAAATTATGGATCATGATTTAGGACCCAATTGCTAATTGGGTGATATTGTGATATTGATAGCTTAAGGAGTTGCCAGGGCAACAGTAAGGATTTCTTTTAGTGGACTTCAGCAGTATGAGGTGAGTCTCCTCACCATACCAATGGTTCGAAGGCACCAAGGCCGGCCTATTTTATGTTATGTGGTACACTAGTTGATGTAGTGATATGTGGTATACTAGTGGGTTATATGTTATGTGATATGATAGCTGTCTTTGTGATACTTGCATGGAAGACCCCGAGGGGAGCCCGTGGAACTTGGATATAAGACCATATGGGGGAGCCCATGACATTCCATGTAAAGACTATGGGGGTGCCCATGACACTTAGTTATAAGACCATGTGGGGGAGCCCATGATATTCCAGGTAAAGACCATGGGGGAGCCCATGGAATTGGGATGTAAGACCATGTAGGGAGTCCATGGATTTCCTACTAAAGACCATGGGGGAGCCCATGACACTTAGGTGTAAGACCATGTGGGGAACCCATGGTATCCAGGAGTAAGACCTTGGGGACGAGCTCATGGCATCCTTATATGTTTATATGCTTATGTGATTGATATGGTTTATGTAGCTGTTATAGTTGTTATGGGTTATGGGGGCTATGAGGATTGTGTGGGGTATGCTCTCGGGAACTCACTAAGCTTCGTGCTTACAATTTTGTTTATTGTTTCAGGTATCATCGGTTTGGAAAGGAAGGGCCCGACTTGATCGCAACACACACATGTGTTTTCCGCATTACGTGATTTTGGGAAGTAACTTTGATAAAATTTCTAATTGAGCAATGTTTTTGGACGATTGGATGAAGTAGCATTTGTGTTTGACTATAATGAAAAATGAAAAATTTACCCTTGATTTTTGGGTTATTACAAGGCTCAAGTAGAGGGTTTGAAGAGAGAAAATTGGAAATTAGAGCGGATACGGGGTCAGATTCCTTTGTTTATCCGGGATAGTCGGGGTCTCTTGACCCAGTGTGGCCGAGTGTAGGTTCCAGCATTTGGAGGAGTGAGGCATAAAATATTGGAAGAGGCACACAAGTCCAAGTTCTCTAATCATCAAGGGGCTACAAAAATGTATAGAGACTTGAAGCTGAGTTACTGGTGGCACTGCATGAAGCGGGAGATCGCCTGGTATGTAGAGCGGTGCTTGACTTGCCGGAAGGTCAAGGCCGAACATCAGCGACCTCATAGCAAGGTTCAACCGCTACTCATTCCCATGTGGAAATGAGAAGAGATCATCATGGACTTCATCACGAAGTTACCAAGGACGGCGAGGGGTGTGGATGTCATATGGGTTATTGTGGATAAATTGACGACAAGTGCCCACTTTGTTCCGATCTACAAGAGCATCTCCGCGGAGAAACAAGATGAAGGGACTAATGTGGACGAAATATATATTACCTTATTAAATCATTTTTTATGGCCTGCCTAAAGTAGTCAGTCATAATGAATGCGTTTAGTTACACAAGATGAAGGGACTAATGTTGACGAAAAAAAACTCAATGACCAAATGTATACAAATAAAAAAATATATTACCCTTTTAATCATTATGCATTTTTATAAATTTTATACCTTTTTAGCATTGCAGTTTACATCAAGACTTTAGAAATCAATTTTTTCACTAAGTTTTCTCAAAATCAACACAAGAATTGACTACTCTATTCTATGTTCTCATCTCGAATGTAAAAAAGCCTTCTAAAATCCCAAGATGCACTTAGTAAGTTTTTATATAATTTCACTAATATTTTGGCATTTAATTTGTACCACAATTTAAATGTAAAAGGGTTTTTATTAACGCCACTTAATTCCTCCCATTATGAGGTAATTTACTTAATCACCCAAAAATTCTCAATTTTCATAATTAAGATCAACGTACTTTATAGCAACATACTTTTGAAATTTCAACCTACATTAACGTTTTTCATGCCAAACACCCACTTATAATGGCTTATCCATTTATTGAATTTACACACAAAACACAATTAAATAATTATATGACATTTTCTCAACAAAAGGTAAAAAAATATATAACCCCCATCACCATGGGTGTTACATAGTCCACCGTGGTTTGCTCTGGTCCGATTGACTTTGTTGTCCATGGGTATTGCATCCTCACAAAATTTGAAAAGTATCATTCATTAGATATTGATTGATTAAACTGTAAACTATACCCATAAATGTACGCCCCCATTAGGACTTAGGATCATAGCAACATCATGCGATTATGATTATATACAGGGCCGGTCCAAACGTATATGGGACCCGGGGCAAAAGGAAAAAAAAAGCCTCTTAAAGATAAATATAATAAAGATTCAAAAAAAAAAAAATATCATTTATTCTTCGCTATAAACATGTTCAATTAGCAATAACAAGCAAGCCAAATTGTTTATCTTTTAAGTTAATTTGAGTTTGAACCAACTTTAGGCCTAAAGATCATTTTGGTAAGAATTGGTTTATATATGTACACTACATAGCCCATAAATTTTGGGCCCCCTGGAATCGTGGGCCCTGGACGGTCACCCGGGTTGCCTACCATCTGGACCGGTCCTGATTATATATATATATATATATATATATATATATATATATATATATATATATATATATATATATATAAACCTTTTATGGTATCTTTCCATGTAGCATTGGATGAGTTATTACTACAAGGTATGTGATGTTATTTACTAAAGGATAAATGAAATAATCTGAATTTTAGTATTTGATTGTTAGAATGTTAAGAGGGTACAGATAGGAACACCACCTCGATGCTTCGGTACCGAGAAAAAGACTCTGATACGAGCTGGCTATCTCGACTGTTCCACCCTCCCCACGTCTATATTAGTATATTTTGTTTATAAAAAACTATATACATTTTTTCATCAAAAATTTATCAATTCTTTCTCAAATTTCAAATTTTCATAAATCTCTCTGCAAAAGTGCCAAATGGTTTAATCACCTTCTTCATCAAGTTTAGACTATTCGGCTTTATATTCATCATCAAGTTTAGACGATGTATAATAATTAACAAAACCGTAACTTGTTGTTGGGGTCTGTGTTCAATAAATGTCTTTAAAACAAGTTCAACTTATATCGGGTGTTTGTTTCCCGGATTCCTCAAAACCACCCGAACCCTCTTAGACCGGAAGATACATTGGTTGCAACAAGAAAAAGAAGTAGAAGCAAAATCATATGAGAGGAAGAAAAAATTGTTTCATCGGTAGGTTTCAAACAGCCACCAAATGACACTATTTATACATGAAAATATGGGATTGTGTGTTGTAAAAAATGATTATTTTCATGTTGCTTCTTGTTTAATTTAATAAAAATGTTGGGTTTGCTCAGATTTCAATTTTTTTAACACCTCCTCTTTACTTCTTCTATAAATCTGATTTTCTTATTAAAGTTTGAGATATATAGTTGTACTAAATACTTATAAAAAGACCTTTTATTTTCATTATTTCAGAGTTTGGGTATTTTTAAGCTGAAAGGGAACAAAACTACAGTGGGAATGGTTTGAGTCAGTTAAGAAACAAGAAAACATCGGACGGACAATTATGTCCCTATCGCCCCCTCCCCCACGATTACAAAACACATAACTCGAACCTCCATCAACTACATATGCTCTCCATCATACAATCCATCGACGTTTCCAGAAAGCAAACTAAAATCCAATAAGAACCCAAATCGCAAAATAACCGTGCCTCTTTCAATCCTCCATCGTTTCCTTTCTCGAGGTCAGAAGTCTTGACCCAGCCCCTTCTTTTGCCCATTTGCATTTTCTTCAAGGATAATCGGGAAAAACAGGGGAGGTTGGGGGTGTAAATTTCTGGGATTGTCTAATCAATCTCCGAGCCTTTTGTTTACGATACATTTGAATCGTTTTCATAAAGATTACATTTCTAAACTGTGTAGGAATTCAATTTTGTTGATACCGCTTGTTCCTTAGATCAGTTTTAATCCATTGAGGTTTTTCTTCGAAAGGGTTGTTTGCATGTATCTAAATTTAGTAACTTTTGATCGTAAGCTTTTCATCTTTAACCATTTTTTAGCGTTCGTTTGAGGTTTTGCGTTTTTTCTTGGAAATAGCTTGACATTTGTGTGGGGAGATCAATTGGGTGTTTTGAATCTCGATACAATCGACTAGAACCGAATTGGTTGTGAAATTCAAATGGTTAGGGCTTATTATACGCAACTCGTAGAGGTACAGGCTTCAGATGATAACATAAATCTCTTCAAATTGGTGATGTGATTTTGGTGTGTATGAAGCTCAGACCTCCTAATTTGGGGAAAGATGTATGCTGTCGGCAGGCTAAGCAGCTATATCACCCGGGGGGTTTCTACGGTTTCCGGCCCCTTCCATCCATTTGGTGGGGCCATTGATATCGTTGTGGTTCAACAACAAGATGGCAGTTTAAAATCATCTCCATGGTACGTTAGATTCGGTAAATTTCAAGGAGTTTTGAAGGCAAGAGAGAGAGTTGTTGACATTAACGTTAATGGGGTTGAAGCCGATTTTCATATGTATTTGAATCCAAGAGGAGAAGCTTATTTTCTCAGGAAAGAGATCGTTTCTGATCGGGAGTCGCGTTCAGGTGAAGCTGATAGAGATGGGCGATGCCTTAGGACAGTTAAGTCAAAAAGTCTTGATTATAATTTCGATCACTGTAATTCACTTACTGATGTCAACAACACCCAGCCTTTTTCCAGGAATTTAGGGTTTGTTCTTGAAAGGAAAAATATGAAAAATCAAGATGGTGTTGGTGTTGATGTTGGTAGAAAGTCTGCAGATAGTGCTGAAATTGCAGCAGATCTTTTGGAAATGAAGTGGTCCACCAGTCTTTCTAGTTCTACTAAAAGCAACAAAAACCTTGAACAACATAACAAGGCTGATGATTGTGATGAGATCACTGGTGGAAAATTGGAGGGGAGTTTGGTTTTGCATGAAGAACACTTCGTAAACAAGTCATCATCATCAGAAGATAACGAGAGAAGCCCTCAGGTTGATGAGGTTATGGTAACAAAAGTCGACAAAGATGGCATTGTAGAAATTTACGAAGGGCATGGGGGTAATTTGGAAAACGGTATTTTGAAGGAAGATAGCTTAAAAGATGGGCAAGAAACAGTTGAAGAGCCTTTAAAACTCGGGGATGGATGTCTCACAGAAGTCGCATGTATTCAACAAGAAAAAGTTTCAGAAGATGTTAAGCCATGTAATGTCGTTGCAGTTTCCGTTAGTCAAGTCAAAGACGAAGTCAAATCACCATTGGAGTTAAATAGTCAACTCTCCATAAGTCCGAATCTCGGGTCGGATTCATCTCCAAGCACATTTGAACATGAGATTATCAAAGATATGAAGGGAAATCTTAGAAGGTGTTCAAGCGATACTGTTATAGCTAAAAGTTATAAATTGTTGAAGGATGATGGCGTACCACATACAAAATCTTTACCAAATTTATGTGTTAATTTTTACGAACTTGATTCGAAACAAGGAATCTCAAAGTGGGACATACTCAGGAAAGATGCTTCAAGGATTATAAAAGATGGCGATAAACAACCCACTGAAGATACCAAATCAAAGGATCATAAAAACAATGGTAAGGAACTAAGAATGATTTAATTATTTCTTGCAAAAAAGATACATATTGAAGTTGAATACTTACTGTTTTCAGATGCAGCAAGTGGTAAAAGCTGGAGCCTTTGGCCATTTAACAAAACAAGAAGCAAACGGTTTACACAAGACATAAGAAAAGATTCTGAATTTGGTTGTGGGTCAGAGGTGGAAGGAGAAAAAGATCCTTTATCAAAGTCACAACATAAGATGCGAAGAGAGCTTACACCAACACCCCAACAGTTAGAGTCTTTGAATCTTACAGAGGGAAAAAACACAGTAACTTTCAAGTTTTCTACAGCAGTTTTAGGGAATCAACAGGTTTTTTTTTTTTTTTTTTTTTTTTTTTTTTTGTTGAAACGTGTTTTTGTTTTTTTGTGTGTTATGTTTCTGACACTATGCAGATACTTTTCAGGTTGATGCTAGAATTTTCTTGTGGAAATGGGATTCTCGCATTGTCATCTCAGATGTTGATGGAACAATCACCAAGTAAGACATGAATACTTTTTTGGATTTATCGTAAGTTTGTAGAATGAACATAGGATTCGATATTAATTGAAGATGAAAAATTTCTTATACTCCCGATTGTTTCAGATTTTATATATATAATTTTAAATCATATTTTACAGATCTGATGTTCTAGGACAGTTCATGCCTTTGGTTGGAAGAGACTGGTCACATATTGGCGTAACGCATCTATTTTCAGCTATCAAGGTTTTTTCATTTTTTTGTTAAATGAAATAATATAATATTTGTGGGATATGATATGATATGATATGATGTTTTGAATTTGTTGTTGTTTTTTTGGTATATATGTATAGGAAAATGGATATGAAATTCTATTTCTTAGTGCTCGGTCAATTTCTCAAGCCGATATCACTCGACAATTCTTAATCAACCTTAGGCAGGTAAATTAAATTATCAAATTAAAGTCAAGTGAATCGAGTTTTTTGTTTGACTTTAAAAAAAAAAAAAAAAAATCTCTTTTTCTCATTTACTAAATCGATAAAATTGCAGGAAGGAAAAGCCCTACCCGAAGGTCCCGTGGTTATTTCCCCTGATGGACTTTTTCCATCACTATTTCGTGAAGGTAAGTAATAATTCTAATTCTTTCATATCTTCCATTAAGCTTAATTTTAACAACGAACGACAAAATCCAAAAAAAAAGCTACTCAACTTTTTTTTTTTTTTTTTTGGCAGTTATTCGTAGAGCTCCTCACGAATTCAAAATTGCTTGCTTGGCGGTTGGTTCTTAGTTCATGATTAGCTTTAATGTTTGTTTATACCACAAAGCAAACCAAAAGTCATAATAATAAATAATAATCATGATAAGGTTTTGAAATTTATTTGCAGGATATTAGGGCGTGTTTTCCAGATGATTGGAATCCGTTCTATGCTGGTTTTGGAAATAGAGACACCGATGAATTTAGCTACCTCAAAGTCGGAATACCAAAGGGAAAAATCTTCATCATCAATCCAAAGGTACTTAATTTCTTATAGCCCTTCAATGGGGACATGTTTCTCTTTGACTTAACGAGTTTAATGGGTTAAGCACTTAATCTGATTGCTTCTTTTGACTTAATCTAAATAATATGACTTAATGTATTAAGTCACCAACCTTTTACCTTTTTTTTTCTCATTTTTTCCACCCAACTCCCCTCACGTGAAAATGGATGAATATAATAATACATCATTACTCATTCAGCTACTTTGAGAAAATAAAAACAACCCCTTAATCCCATAAGTTATATATGATTGTTTCTTATTGACTAAAAAGAGAAACTTAGGAGAAATGATCTTTCCCCATTAACTCCTAACTTTCTACAAAATTTTCCTCGTCTATTCTCTAATGTACTTTTTAAGCTATACAACACTTAATCTGCATAACACTTGTTCTGATATTATTAAAAGGGATTTCAGTTTACGGTTATTTTTCATATTTGTTTTGATTATTGACAGGGGGAAGTGGTTGTAAACCGTTGTCATGACACAAAATCATATAGTTCTCTTCATTCTATCGTCAACGGCATTTTCCCGCCAAAATCTGAGCACCAGGAGGTCAACCTTGATAAGATCGATGAGATACACTCTCCTGAAAGAGGATTATAACTTCTGGAAACTTCTAGAAACTTCCAGACACTTCCGCTCTCCTGAAAGAGGATCTCGCCAGGTGGACTACCTAGGGTAAGAGATGTATGTATCCATCGATGTTAAATCCAAATGTCCTGCGTGCCCTAATGCAACAAGCAATCAAGTTAGGCGAATCGAATAGGAACCAAAAGGAATAGAATGTATTCAACACTTGACAAAACATCATATATCTAGCTAATTACCTTACCACTAGAAATAAATTTTAATTTTGTAACGTTATTTCATGTGGCCATAATTTGGAATAAATATTCATTTTTTTTTCACAAAATAAATAAAATCAGAAATAATGGGATCAAATACAAATACATATGGATGGCAAAATGATTTTGGCTAAGTTTCATTGGGTTGGGTCATCTTTGGTCACTGTGTGATCTTGTACTTCCGAATTAGTAAAAACTCATTGAATGAAAGTTGCTCGAAATCATTGATTTACCAGTAAAATTTCTTTCGTAATCAAGGAAATGTGCATGGATTTCGAGTTGTTGAGCAAAATATGATTTTGGCTAGGTTTCGTTAGGTTGGGTCATCGTTAATCTTGGTCGTATCTAGTCGTGGCCTTAGCTGAGTCGAAAAATCTTCAACGTTATAATTCTCTATAACTCACCAAAATGAAGCTGGTTTGGCACAAATTTGACAATGATACAGGACCTTACAATATTAAAACCAAGTGACCGTTTCGTAATTCAACAATTGTGGTGATGCAACCTCCGAAAGAACACATTACAACCGAAGCTAGGTTTTAGGTTGTCGTTCGAGAAGTCAAGGCAACATGGCTGGATTTTTAGGTCGTCATTCGACAAACAAATGCAACATGTTCGAGAAATCACGGCCAGAGGGCTTGTTTTCAGGTCTTTGTTCGAGAAATCAATTCAACATGTTCTAGAAATCAAGGCAACGAGGCTTGCTTTCATGTCGTTGTTGGAGAAACCAAATCAAGGCAATGAGGCGAGTTTTTAGGTCGTTGTTCGAGAATTCAAGGAGACGTCTTCTAGAAATCATGGAAAAAGGGCTAGTTTTCAGGTCACCATTCGACAAACCAAGGCAACATGTTCTAGAAATAAAGGCAACATGACTACTTTTCATAATGTCGTTCGAGAAATCAAGGCATCATGCTAGCTTTCAAGTCGTTGTTTGAGAATCGCGGAACATGTTCTAGAAATCAAAGCATCGTTCGAGAAATCAAGGCAACGAGGCTAGTTTTTAGTTCATCGTTTAAAAAACCAAGGCAACATGTTCAGGATATCAAAGCAACGAGGCTAGTTTTCAGGTATTCGTTCGATAAATAAAAGCAATAGTTTTCAGGTTATCGTTCAAGAATTCAAGACAACATGTTCTAGAAATCATGGCAATAAGGCTAGTTTTCAGGTCATCGTTCGTGTGAAATCCCTCATTTTTCAGAACCAATTAAAACATTTTTCTTTACGCTTTATAAAATTGAGATGTGGAATTTCCCAGTTAAACAAAACATTTTGAGATAACAAAAGTTATTTCATTTTATTAAAAACCTCGAGAATGTCATCGTTTATATCCAAACATACATTACAACGTCAGTACTAAAAGGTCCTGAAACTTCTAGGCTCATCTCTTTATTCTACTCAGCATCCTAACTAGACTATAACAACCTTGGTTCTACTACCTATGATGCATAAAAATGAGTGGGTTAGGTTTGGGAAAACCTAGTGAGATACGTAGGGTTTTCAAGCCCATTATTTAGTGATATTAAATAATATCATTTTTGGAAAACAACGTTATCAGATAATATATATAAAATCTGACCTAAGACCAACTACCTAACCCAATCGATCCACACAGATCCTAAATGCAACGATTATCGGGAGGAATCACCTAACCTGATGAATCGTTTGAGCAACTGTTTGAGTACACAACTAGGGGTGTCCTTGGCCAGTGTTAGTCGTATAAGGCAACCAATGTTCAGAGATTTGATAAGTATGGTATCCCATTTTATCAACGTCCATGGGTTATAAGTCCATGCTAGCAACATAATTCACTAGACTGCCTAGAATAGTCAAGTATTGTCATCTACTCTGGTCGATGACCCAACCATACTTGCCAGTTGTGTGATATGGACCTACCATTTCTAATCATCCAAGAAATAGGAGAAACACTCCATTCTGTTCTTACATACCCTACCTAGTCATGAGACCTAATCGACATCTAACTTAATTTCAACAAAGTGTCCTTTAAAAGTCTTATTCTTAAACCTAAGGCAAGACTTATAACTAAAGGTAATCGATTCCATGCTAGCAACGTCCACGGGTTATAAGTCCATGCTAGCAACATAATTCACTAGACTGCCTAGAATAGTCAAGTATTGTCATCTACTCTGGTCGATGACCCAACCATACTTGCCAGTTGTGTGATATGGACCTACCATTTCTAATCATCCAAGAAACAGGAGAAACACTCCGTTCTGCTCTTACATACCCTACCCAATCATGAGACCTAATCGACATCTAACTTAATTTCAACAAATGTCCTTTAAAAGTCTTATTCTTAAACCTAAGGCAAGACTTATAACTAAAGGTAATCGATTCCCAATACAGTTTCTAATTCAATAGTATTATCCTAATTATACAAATAGCATATAACACATATAATACATGCAATCATTTATCATTTATTACAAATAATACTTTTATTTTAGATTATGATCTTGATAGAAACTACGCACTCACCTGACAAAAGTGTCTAGTGATTGGCGAATCGGGAAAAGCTTCGCCTTACACCTTTTCCAGAAGACCTAGATGTACATAACACTAAGTCTTAGTCTATTATCCTAAGGGTTTAGTTCTGCAATAATCCCAATATCTACTTCAAGATCTAAACAAGGAATAACCAAGTAGATACTTATCGGAGGTAGGGTATGTTTGATATACAGAGTATACTGTTTGGAAATCCCACTTTAAACACCTCACTAAATCTAGTCTAGGCATTACTCCCAAAAGTAGATCAAGCAGCATAACAACTTGAAATCATTGATAAATCTTACTTATAAGTTCCTAGTAGCGACTTATAACTATGATTATAAATTACATATGAAAATTGAAGACTAAAAAAAGTTGAATTTTTAGAATAATAAAAACCGTCTTTCAAAACATGTTTATAAAACCATAATAGAATCAAGTATGATCAAAACATCTGAATAAATCATAGTAAAATAAAATGCAGAACAACGTGTTGTGTAATATACGATCACCCCGAGCTCTTACCTTAGGATTCGGAAGTACTTGAAACAAAACTAAAAGCCGTAAGCACAAAGCCTAGTGAGTTAACCAAAATACTGCATACGATACATATCTACCAGCTCAAGGCTATGCCGGGTCTATTTCACCTAAGATGTACCGGGTCTATTTCACCCCCGAGTCTATTTCATCTCATATGTCAACATAAGGTTGTACAAGGTCTATTTCACCCCACATACATATAGCAAACATGCACATATTGTAACACCTGATTTGAATCGCTTCATTATTCGGGGTCGTGACCCGATTATCAGTTATGATAAGGTTTCGGGCCTTGGGGGAAGAGAGAATTATACCCTTTCTGGATGTGGGTTTTATAGATTAGATGATTCGAGAGTTTGATTGTGTTTCGAAGCCCAAGGGTATTACCGTGATTTGGCAGTTCAAGCCTTTATGAATTTTGGTGTTTAAGTTCGGGAAGTTTTCAGGAAAAGGAGAGTTAATAGAATGGTAGAGCTTCTGATTACCTTTCCGTGGATATAAAGAATGTCGGAAATGAAGTTGGAACGGACGAGTTATGTCCATTTGAAGTTAGGAGGGTTTGTGATTTAGGCTAGTACGCGGGTAGTACTCTTTGAGTATGCAACGCGTAGTGGATGGATTGATCGTGGGTAACCTTTGAGTATGCCAGGCGTATTCAGGAGTACGCAGGGAGTACTCCTTTCAGTTAGAAACCCTAACTTTTAGTGTAACATCCCAAAAATACAGGACAAAAATTTCATTTTTAAATACATTATTATAAAACCAACAATATAAGAAAACATCCATAATATCATGTCATGTCAAAATCAAAGTAGAAATAATCAAAACATGTTATCATAAAGCAATATCAGAGTATAATCCCAAAGATCTCGTGTGCGGAAAAACATAGTGTGATGCGCTGCGATCAAGCCGACTCCTTTCCTTCAAAAACGTAGTTCCTGAAACCAAAACTGAAAACTGTAAGTACGAAGCTCGGTGAGTTCCCCCTATCATACCACATACCATACAATCACATATCATACATACTCCCGGGAAATTCTAGGGTGCCCGACGGTACGGCCATTCTGGCGTGCCGACCTACTCGTACAGCCATTCTGGGGTGCCGACCTACTCGTACGGCCATTCTGGGGTGCCGACCTACCCTTGCGGCCATTCTGGGGTGCCGTCCTACCCGTGTCAAGCCATTCTGGGGTGCTGACCTACCCATCGATCCTAACAACCGACCCCCGGGGACTATTCCACCCCCTATTGCTACTATTACATATATCATAACATAAACATACTATCCGACATATCTGGGGTGTCCGAACTACCCTTAGGTCCTAACAACCGAAATTGGGGACTATTCCCCTCCTACTACTACTATCACATATAACATATCATGCCAGCATATAACATATCAGGTAGTAGCAAACCTAGATGATATCATAAAGACAATCATCTAACATACAACTCCTACTGGTGTGCTGACATTGTGGCCGTAGACCCACTGCTACTGGAAGGTAACTCACCTCACACTGCTGAAGTCCCGTAGACACAATCTCACACTTGCTGAAGTCCCGCAGACTCAACCCCAGTTGTTGGATGATAGGTTCCCGAACTATCAACACCAAAACAACACCCAATTAATAATTGGGTCTCAACACATAACCATAATACATACTTGGATAATTACTACATTACCCCAAGCTTGGCTTATTTAAGCCCAAAGCCTAATCCATAAGCCCAAAGCCAACTAGGAATCAAAACCCAGCATATGGCCCAATTTTCCAAATTGGGCCCAAGCCCCTTACGTGGGACTTACCCTAGGCCCATTAAATTATTTTAGTCCATATAATTATTCTTTGATGACCCATTAATAATCCAATCTCAAGGCCTAATAGAAAGGCCCAACAATAAACCCAAGTGAAGTTAGGGTTTCACATAAAATTCCGATTAGGGTTAAGTTTCCTACTTAACCCACTAAGGACTTAATTCATTAAGTCCAATATGCATAAATTAATTTTTTCCAATGATTATTATTTAATATCTCCAGTTATTAAATA